CATTTTATTAATTATATTATACCAATTATACAGTTATTATACTATTTTTATTATATGGTATAATATAATTGCCCATCCCTATATTAAATAGTCAGAATAATATTTTTTTAAAATTTAAATGAAAATATCTTAACTATTTAAGAACTTTTTTTAATTATATAGACTGTAAATTTCTTATAAAATTTATTTAAATATTTTTATTTAAGAATTGGTAATAAATTGAAATATATATTAAATAGCCAGAATAAAGTTTTTTGTTAAAATTTGAATGAAGATATCTTAACCATCTAAGTAAATTCAATGAATTTTTTTATTTAATTTAAAGACTTGTAAAATTAAAATTAAAAAAATTTATCAAATTTGCTTAAACAATTTACAGCTTGATAAAGAATTAAAATATAAATAGAAGCAGAAATATTTAGATAAATTTGATAATTTTTTAAATTTTGAATAAAGATATCTTAACCATTTAAGTAAATTCAATAAATTTTTTTATTTAATTCAAAGACTTGTAAAATTAAAATTAAAAAAAATTATCAAAATTGCTTAAACAATTTACAGCTTGGTAAAGAATTAAAATGTAAATAGAAGCAGAAATATTTAGATAAATTTGATAATTATTTATTTTAATTTTACAATCTGGTAGAATTAAAAAAAGTTCATATTTGTTCAAATTTCAAAAAAACTTTAATACAGTATGCATTTCAATTCTTTACCAAATTTAAATGAAGATATCTTGGCAACTTTATCATAAATTCGATGTGAACTTGATTCTAGAAGTTTGTAGAATTTAAATAAAATAAAAAGTTCATTGAATTTGCTTATATGTTGTCAAGATTTCTTCGTTCAAAGATTTAATTTTAATTATGTATTCGTGTCGATCATTTGCTGTGCCGATAACAGAACCAACCGTGTCGGCGGCCTTTAAGAACTACCACCAAAATTTTCACGCTCACGTGAAGATCTACAGGAATTATCCAATAGATGATCGTGATTTAATGTAACGTAACACGATCAGGAAAATGCTTTTGAGAAAATTAGAAAAAATTGCTTGTTTTCCGAAAATTAGCATAAGAAACTACTTTCTGCGCTCTAACAAAAAATTTCCTTGAGCAATTTTACTATACTAATAACTAAATTCTAACCCTTATACCAACCCTAATCCTACATAAATAAACTTTAAAGAATTTTATGCATATCACGTGAGCGTGAAAATTTTGGTGGCTGTTTTAACAAAGGGCGTTTTAACAGTTTAACATTTACTTCGTATACCCGATCTTGGTTACTCAAGCAGTTTGGAGATAGTTTAGAAAGGATATGGATATTAATTAAATTCGTTCTATGAAGCGTATAACTACCTATTTATAGACTTGCCAGCTTTGTTTTTTTTAAAAACATATATATACAATAGATACATGTATAGGCATTAGTATAATATTAATAGTTTTTTTATAAATCCTTTATAACAAAACTCAATCTTGTTATACAAATAAATAATTTAAAAATAATATATATAATTCACATCATTTTGTACAAATATATAAAAATACAGAATTTTTTTCTATCGAAAATAATGAAATTGAAAAATGCAAATATTGTAAATGTGAAAATAAAGTTAGAATAATATGTGAAAAAAGAGGGTGTAAAAATTTTTATCCAAAATAAAAATTTTATCGTCCGCCAATATTAACATCCAAATAAATTTTTTTTTAAATGTTTTTTATCATATAATTGTTTTTTTTTAAAAAATATTTCTATTGCAAAAAAAAAAAAAAAAATTGAATCAAATTGTAAACCAAATGATCAAATAAAATCAATTTTTTTTTATGCAAAGAATATTAGTTCATAAAATTGTTCATAAATAACTTAAATAGAAATAAAAGATATTTCTGATCTTAACTTGCAATACAAGAATTTTGCAAAGAATTATCGAACATAATAAAAATTTGGATAAAGACAAAAAGCAAAGAATTAGAGTTCATGTTTTTACAAACTGGAAGAGATTCTGGAGGCATTCATTATATACAATTGTGAGCCGAACTGTCTGGGGCACTTGCTCTGTGAAGTGACCTAGATCGGTAGATAAAAGGTTTCATAAACGGATGGAGGAAAGATCCTAATCAAATTAATGAAAAGAATCAGTAAACTATTTTGGAAATTTTAAACATGTACAGTCAACTCTCCTTATAACATATAAATTACCCACATTTGATGATTTAGATTCATGATAATTCTGTTTTATCAAAGTCGTTATAACAAGAGTTGACCGTGAAACAGAACTGTCTTAAAAGCACATAAACTTGCTTTTTCTGGACATCAGTTCTTCCATTCGGCTTTCGAGTAATCGTCTTTGTTTCTCTGCATCTTCTTTGGCCTTTCGTTCTTCTTCCAATACTGCTTCGATAACCTTTTTTTCTTGATAAACTGATGTTCTAGTATTTTCAAACTGAACTGTTGTTTCATCTAATTGTGAATGCAGGTTTTTGATTTGTGTAATAAGATCAGATTTTTCCTTTTGTAATATTTGCAATTGTTGTTTAGCTACTCGGAGATTAATGTCTTTTTCTGAAAGTGCACTTTCTAATGTTTCAACTTGTTGACGATGTCGTGCATTTTCTCCTTCAATCTTGGTAACCTTTTTATGTAGTTTTTGAACCTCTACAGTAAGATCAGTCGGTGAACTTCCTTCTGATATACTAGTTCGTAATCGTGAAGGAGATCCAATAGGAGGTGTAGAAGGTGATATCGGTGGTGGTGGTAATGGTGAAGTTGGTGGTGGCGTCGGTGGTGGTGCAATATTTGAGATCACTAAATTCGGTCTGATTCTCTTCATCATATCCGAAGACGTTGAACATGCTGATAATCGGAATCGATCAACATTCTCGTATTCTGAAACACAAATAGAAGGCCGACGACATACAGTTTCCTCTTGTAATCTACGTTCAAGTTCTGATACCTTTTCTTGGAAAACTTTAATAAGATTATTTTGTTTGGATATTGTACTTTCTTGACGTCTTAATTGATGTTTATTTGAGCTTTCTAAATTAAGATCACTGAGATGTGATTGAGGTAAAACACTTTCTGATTCAAGGTCTATTTCAAATATTGCACCATTCCTAGATGATTTTTGTGCAATTTCTTTTTCAAGTTTCTCGTTAATCTCTAATAACATTTTAATCTCTTTCTCCATCTCTAAAGCTTCATAATCTGTTCTTTGTTTTAGATCTGCATGTTCCTTTTCAAGTGAAATCAATTTAGTGTTTAATTCTACCAGTTGAGCAGCTGCTTTATTTCCTCCGTGATCTGAGGTTTGTAATTGTTTCAATAGAGAATCAATTCTTTGATCAAGTTTCTTACGTTCTTCAAAGAAAACCTTATTTGCTTGTTCCAAGCTTTCTTTTTCTGCTTCAAGCTCGGCCACCTTTCCTTCTAATGATTCCATTGATATTTGATTTGAGATACTTTGTAAATGTTCAAGTTCATTTCTTACGGTTTTTAGACTTTCATTCAGAGAATTTACTTCCTCTTCAGTTGTGCTAACTTTTGAATTAAGTCTATCATTGATTATTCGTAAATTTTCATTTTCGATCATTAATTTTTCAATTGTAAGGTTTAAAGAAGATTCAAGTGTGTTAGAGTTATTATCTGGAGATTTTTGTGTGGAAGTTTCAACGATACTTTTCTCAACATCCTCAAGAGCTCGTTCCAATTCAATCGTATGACTTTTTTGTTCACTTGTAAGCATATCGGCTTTTTCAAGTTCTATAACAGTTTTAGTATACTCGGCTGACAAATTATCAAAGTCTCTTTGGAGATTTCCAATTTGCTGTGTGATATTCTTGTTGTTTGTGAGTTGTATTTGCTTATCTGACTCAAGTTTCTGAGTAATCTTTTCTAATTCTTGAACTCGGTTACGATACAATTCGATTTCACTATGAGCTTGCTGGAGTTGACTGGTAAGATTTTCTATCGTTGAACTATCTATACCATTCTTTGCATTGTGCATAATTTCCATTTTTGCGTCTTCGGCCGCACTCTGTAATAGTTTACATTGTTCTTTAAGAATTTCTATCTCTTTATTAGCTTCGTGAAGTCTGGAAATCTCTGCATCGTGATTAGACTCTGCTGTTTGTAATTTGGATTCTAAGGCACTAATAAGCTCTTGTTTTTGAACATCTGAACCTTTGACTTGTTCCAGTTCATAATTAATCTCTTGGATTGTTTCCTGTAATTTGTTTAAAGTATCTTGTTTTCCTTTCAAAGCTACTTCTAATTCCTTGATCACACTTGCTTGGGTAGTTTCGATCCGTTTTTTTACTTCTGACTCAATGGTCTCAATATCGACTTTGTTATTTTGGATCTGTAATTCTAATTGTGTTATATGTTCATCTTTGATCGAAAGCATTTGTTCTTTAGCTTTTAGGTCACAGTCAGTTTGTTTTAATTTTATTTCGAGTTGAACAGCAATTTGTGCACGATCTTCTTCCGTCGCTTTGGCTTCGTTAAGTAAAGAACCAACAGTTGCAAGTTCATTTTCGAGATTAGCAATGGTTTTTTGATCTTTTTGAGAAGAATTTTTAAATTCAACCAATTCAGTTTGTAAATTAGTTATGGAACGTTGTAATTCAGAAACCTCATTTTTATGTTCAATTTCTTTTGTTTCGAATATTTTTGTTTGTTCTTTAACATATGCTGCATGTTTATCACGTTCCTTCTCGGCCTCTAATAGCTTGGTTTTAAGATCTGCTATGAGATCATTTTGAACATCCATTTCGATTTTAGCACTAGCAAGTTCTTCCTTAAGAGATCTTACATTGTTATTACCAGTTGTATCAGAATCTTTTGTTTCTTGAAGTTCCACCTCTAATTCTTTTATCCTTTTTTGTTCTTTATCTCGTTTTTGTAACATATCGGTTAACAAATTATTCAATTCAGTAATTTCTTTTGAATAGGCAACATTTTTATCATTTGTTTGTAATAATTCTTCTTTTATTGTCTTTAATTCACTTTCCAGACAAATAATCCGTTCATTCTTTGCATCATGTTCCTTTTTCAAACTTTCAAACTCTAAAATTAAAGTATTTTTAGATTTTATCGTATCATCTAGTTGAGATTGTAATTGTTCGATGGTAGATTTTTGTTCAGATTCAAATTCTTTCAAAAATTTAATCTCATTTCTTAAGACTCGTAAATCTTCACATTCCTTTTCAGAGATTTCAAGTTTACTTTCTAATTCTTTGATCGTATTTTTAAGATTAGATTCAATGTCCTTTAATTCAGAGATTTCTTTTTTTAGATCTTCGGTTTTGGAATCTTGTTTAATAAGTTTCAATCGATTTTCAAGAACATCAATTTTTTTACGTTGTATAATATCTTGGGATCGCAAATTCTCGATTTCTTTATTTAGTACATTTATTTGTTGTGAGTCAACATTAGGACCAAGTGATGATATCATCTTACTTAATTGAGATTCATGAGATTGAATTTGATCTTTTTGTCCGTGTGTTCGAGATTTTAGAATATCAATTTTAGCTCGTAATGAAGAAAATTCATGTTCTGATTTCTCTAATTTAGATTCAAGATCTAAAATTGTTCGTTTATATGATTTTTCAGATTCTTTTGTTATAACTAATTCGTTTCTTAACCTTATTATATCATCATCCATAAATACATTTTGTGATGATAATTGACCTTCTAACAAGTTTATTCTTTCTCTTTGAGCTATTTCAATATTACGTAAACGGCGTAATTCTTCATTAAGTTTTGTTTCTTTGTCATTCAAAATTCCAATTTTTTCTAATGCAGAAGCCTCATTTTCTTTTACAACTTGAAGCTCTTTTCTAACATTCTCAATTTCTGAATGTAATAATGATTGATCGGCTCCAATACTTTCAGCTTGTTTCAATTGTAATTGAAGATTTTTCATTTGATTTTGAGTTTCTTCTTGTCGACTTTTAACTTCTGAAAGTTGTAATTTTAATTCTACTGCTTCGGTTTCTTTTTCTCGAAGTTTTTGTTGTAAAATCCCTTTATCTATAAAATCTCGTTTTAATATTTCTATAAGTTCATATTTACGTTTAATGTCCAATTTTAGTGTCTCAAATTGTGTCCTTAATGCTACAACTAAACTCTGTTCACTTTGTAAATTTGGAATATTATCAGATTTACTAGACAATTCTTGTAAAGCAACTAATTTTTCCTCAAGCATTTCAATTGATTTTTGTGTAGGATCACCAATATTTAAAGTATCTCGAATTGGAGCATGACCTCCCATTGAATAAGATCGAGGTTTTCGAGGAATATTTTTTTCAGATGTGGAAATCGGGTAAAAACGATCTTTTTCTAATTCATCAAAACGCATACATGGTGGTAAAGACTGTCGTACTGTGACTGGAGATTCCATAAGTCCCATAACGCTAGATGGGGACATTGGAGTTGTGGGTGTTGAAGAAATGGATTTAAAATCATCCATCATTTCCGCATCAATTAATCTTGCTTCTGAAAGTTGCGTCTGTAATTCTTGTATTTCATCTAGGCATGCTTCATATTTTGCTTTAATCTGAGTAAATTCTATAACCGTTTTTTCATGAATTTGTTGCAATTCGGATATTTTTGCCTCAAGATTAGCAATTATTATACGATCTTGCTCATCCTTTAACGATAAAGTACCAGGAGCGATAGAAGATAATAATAATTTTTCTTCGTCTGATGCAGAAGAAAAACCTGATATTATTCCTTGATGTCCTTGATGATTAATTTGATCTGATTCTTGTGATTTAGAATTCCCTAACTTGATAAGTTCAGATGAAAGTTCATCGGTCTTTTGTTCAAGTAGAGCAATTCTTCGATCACGATCATTCAATTCATTTAATAATAATGTTTTTTCTTGATCAACTTCAGCTTGATCGAATTTTTCCTTCAGTTCGCTGTAAGCATCTTCTTTATCTTTCAACTTATTTTCGAGCCTTTCGACGGTTTTATTAATTTCAATTAGCTGTTGTTCACTTGCCTCTAGACGCGCTTCAAGGTCATGTATATAACCTTCACTATTTGTACTAGTTGTTTTTAATTGAGAAATCTTGCTTTTTAATTCATTTATTAAAATTTGATCATTATTATGTTCTTCAACTTGAGTTTCAAGTTTTGATTCGAGATCCTTAATATAATGTTCATTTGTTGCTTCACGTTCAGAAAGTTGAGCGATATTATTCCTTAAATCATTAATTAAATTTTTATATTGTTTATTAATCTGTTCAAGATGTTCTAATTTATTGTCCTGATCTTGTACCATTGTTTCAGTATGACTTAGAGCGGCACGTGTCAAAGCCAATTGACTCTCTAAAGAAGATATTAACTTTTCATATTCTTCAATAACCGGTTCAACAGCTTCTTGAAAACTATCAGAAGCACGTTTAATTAAACTATTTTCTTTTTCTTTCAAAGCATTAAAATCAAAATTTTCATCAGAATTGTCCTGATGCATTGCGAGTTCAGCAGAAGTTTTTGCATATTTTTGAGATAGTTCAGAATAAGAACGTTGTAAAAGAACAAGTTGTTCTTCTAACATTTCAAGTTCGGTATTGCTTTTACCATCAGTATCGGTCACTACGGTAACAGGAACTGGTTGACGGTCAGGAGAAGTTTCACGAGTATTAGGTATATTGGGAGTATTAGGAGTATTAGGAGTATTGGATGGAATTGGAGTACTCCTTCCTGAACTATAAGAACTTCTACCACTATTAGTACTATTCGTAGAAACATTTGAGTTTGATGCTTTCAAAGCTTTTATCTCAGATCTTAATTTTAAAACTAAAGATTGTAAATGTTCCAAATCATTCCAACCACTTTCTTCTTGATTTATTGATATAGAATTTTTAATATTACGAGCTCTGTTTGCATATTTTAAAGTGTTTATTGTCTCATTTAAATTTGATTCAGATGAAGATACGCATGCAATCATTAACGTTTTTGCGTTACCACCAAGAGAATCTTGCAATAAACGAGTAAGTTTTGAATCTCTATACGGAACGTGAGTTACGTGTTTTGCTTTGTTTTGATCACCAAGCGCTGATATTACGTTTCCTAAAGCTAACAAACCACCATTGATTGATATACCTTCTTTTGCACGTTCACCGACGGCAGACGTTCTTTTTAGCTACGGATACAATTAAAAAAGGATAAAGAGTTAAATGAAGGGTTAAATATCATAACATAATATAACATAATAAATGTTATACGCTAATAATAATAATAATAATAATAATAATAATAATAATAAAATAATAATACAATATACTTACTCTCTCACTACCGGCCAAATCAACAAAATGAAATTTACTCGTTACTGTAACCCAATCACCTTCATCGAATCTTCGACTCATTCTTAAATTTAAATTCGATGATGATCGAGCGATTCTTGAGGAATCTAATCTAGAAGGGGTTGCAGGTCGAGCTGGAGCCGGAGCAGCTGGCATTGGAGAACCTACAAATTTTTGTTGTGCCATGATGACTGAGAATATTGCGTGAGATCGAGAAGATTGAGAATTCATTTCTGTTGCTCCAACTTGTCTATTCATAGATCCACGTGCCAAATGGCTAATATAAATTTATTACGCGTTAGAAATTTGAAAAAGAAAATAAGAAATAAATTAGAAACACCTAAATCACCCACCTCATAACATCATCTACACCGTTTACTTTTATTTCTTGTAACCCATTCCATAAAATATTCCCTTTTGAATCTTCTCTAATGGTGACCTGTGATCGACTTTCCATATCACCTTCACCAAGAAGATCAATTAAATCTTCGTTATATATTTCTATGAAAGAAACTTTTATAGAAAATTTTTGATTTTTGCAGTTTAACGAATTCATGCTTGAAAATAAAGTTTCCATCGCTCGAGGGATTATTCCTTTAGAATCCGGAGATATCGAAGAATTATCAGCTGTGCCCATTGTGTGTGTTTTTCCCGATGAAGTTTGACCATACGCCAAGATTGTTACATTATATCCTAAAATAATGAAATATATAGTATTCCGAATCGTTTGTAGTCACGTGAATGATCACCAATCAGAAATTTAAACTTTTTTTTCAAGTCATTTTTCACTTTACCATTTTTTAATAAAGGTTTGATGAATTTTTACTTACCATCTAAAAAATTTTCAACTAATTTTACAATAGCATTCGTATAAACTTCTTCTTGTGTTGATTCTGGCCCAAATACATAATCATAGCTAAATACTTGTTTCTTTTCACCCTGGACGACTATCGAATTCGGAATTGCTGGGTTTGTTGTAATAACTTGGCGTTGAAATCGTGGTAAAGGATTTAAATCATCATTTATGAGTGGCTTTATTCGTAAAGCTAAGAAACATAAGAAGGTAAAATATCATTATAACATGTCCGTTAAAATTTTAATATATTCCTCTAAAGAGTTTGTACGAGTATTTAATCAAAGTTGAAACTTTGTGAATATATTCACCACATCAAGTACTAACTTTTAACGGTGAAAATTGAGGATTTTCACACTAAGGATAAAACTTAAGTACTTGATGCAAGATGTCCTGTTTGGTTTAGTGATTTTTTTTTTGATCAAAATAAATATCTGTGTCGCTTTCAAATATCAGTATCTTAAAAAAGTAACGAATCCATTCTAAACTTGCTAAAAGGTTATCTAGTGGAACTTCCTTAGTGACATATATTTCTGATCAGAGCGCATACAACAACTTTCATCTTTTTGAGTAAGAATATTCTATTCTCCATTGATTTAATCATTATTACGCAATGAATACCTACCAACTTGTACCGAAGTGCGTTCAGATCCTTTACCGTTGTTAGTGGTCATCGAAGATGTTTTAGTTATTAATTAAATTATTTCTTTTTTTTACGTTAATAAAGTGTTTTACAATACTAGTTTGAATATATAAAGATTCTAAATTTTTGATTTTTTACTGGCGGAAACGTTTTTCTTTTGAGATTTTTAACGGCTCATCAAACTTTTACTGCGAAGTATTAGGGTGCCAGCCCACTTGTCTTTTGTAGGTATAGAACCAGTAGGTGTCTGTACTGAAATATATCTATATATATATAGAGTAATACGATATTCTGCACCTTTGTTTTAAAAAAGGATTTCTATAAAAAAAAAATAAAATAAATAAAAAAAAAAAAAAATGCTATTTTACAAGTTGGGATTGTTTGTTAACTAGTGGGGGCCGATGCGAAATCGTAGAAAAATAATATAAATAAATTAAATAAAAGGAAAGGAAGGAATAAGCCGATAAGTGGATGATAAAATATAAAATTTTAACCCTACGGCTGTCAAAAAAGATTAACGTGACTTATAGATACTGGAAAAAAAAAAAATATCGCTAAAGGGAAATTTTTTCCTTTTGCTATCTGATTTACTTGATTTTGCCCGTTCAGAGACCGGGTCTTTTGAGTAACTGATCAAATAAATTATTGTGCTTCAATGTTTTGATTAAGTTTATTCGACCATTTGCATGAATAAGCGTCGAATACTGCGAGTGAAAAGCATCGCCTTTGACTAATTTGGATTCATTAATATATTTTTATAATACCAATATTTATATGGGTATCAATAACGTAGTTCCGATTTTCAGTGGTGTAACTTGCATCAAACCAATTTGGTTCATTGTGTACCCGGTACTATGATGTTACCTTAATAGCTCATGGGTGATACGTATTATTGTGCCTGTATGGCACTTACTATTCTTCCTTGCGAGCAAATGAAACGTTCTCACGTATGGACTATACCTACAAATGTGTCGAACAACTTATATCCAACAATGTATATATAGTACGCGATAAAAGCGCCATTACATTATTTGCACTTAGGAGCTTTTAATTATATCTTTTTTCAGAATAGAATTTCCTGATCGATCATATGAAACATATTCCCTTTTAATGCAGAACACTAGGAGAGAATTAGTCGTCACATGACCAATACTAATAAACACTAATCAACTCTAATTCCGGTGAGAAATCAGATCTTCAGATATAGTAGATTTACCTGTGTTCATAACTTTTTTTATCTTTATTTACCGCTTATTCGTTCCTGAAAGAAACATGGAAAGGAATTTAAGAAATCTTATTAAAATTAAACTAAAATTAATTTAATACAAAATTTGTGGATCATAACGTAAAATGATAATTGTAGTACTAAAAAAAACTTACGTATCATTATAAATTATTTAGCAAATAATTGTTCTCTAAAGGGAAATATTTACGTATATCAGTGTTTACTTAGCACCTATAATGATCGTCCAATTAAATTCAATTTTATTCTTTATTTTAATTCGTGGTTTTATTTATTAAATTAAAAAAGTGCGAACCCATGAAAAACCAAGATCTCACTATTCCAAATTGTGTCAGATCACAGGACTTCACTACCAAACTTAAAAATTTTTAATTGAATTGTTTTTTGTTGCCATCCGTAATCATCTAATATGGCTAAAGTAAACTGCATGCTAACTCCAATAAAGTGATTTTGAAGTATTGTTCGGGGCTTTAGAATCCCAAAATTAGTAAATAAAAATAGACAATCTTTATTAAGGTACTCTGGAACCAACGGTATTAAGTTATTTTGCAAGCATTAATTAATTTTGCATGCTTATTATATAATTATAAAAACAAACATCATAATAGCGCATTATATATATTAAAAAAAACTGCACCAAATAAACCAGTGACAGATTTCTATTTGTGTGACGTGTATCCTTACATTGCTGTACAGTATTACCCAAAAAAGTGAATATCGTTTCAGTTATTTAAATTACAGTATATAAATATATAAAAAAAAATCATTCTAGTTGTGGTTTGAATTCGAACTTTTGTATAACAAATTTTCAAAGAAATGTAATCACATTTTAACAAACCATAATGATACTGCAAAGATGCATTTCTGAATATAATTCGTTTCTATAATTCGTTTCTTTAGAGCGAAGAAATCTCTATAAATTTACAATACGCAAATTGCTGGTCATTTTATAATAAAAACATATAAAGATTCGTAGTTATAATTCAAAAAATAGCAGTTGGCTCATTTTCAAAAAAAGCAAAAAACAATTTATTTACGGAGTCTTGTCAGTTTTGAAAACAATCAATCAAAAGCTTGCTTATTACATACGCATCTAAAAAATATATATATATTGCAAAATTTTTATATAAATATAATATTTACTGTATATACGTACTAAAATTATTTAAATGAAAAATTTAAATAAACGCTACAGTATAATAAAAATACTTCTAATTTGACAGGAAATTTTAATTTTCGCTTTTATTAAAATGCATCCATGGTGTTTACACCTATGTATACGTTATTTAAATTAATTAATGTGTGCTGTTCTAAGTAAAAATGATTCTATATTAAGAAAAACAGGGCAATAGTACACAAATTGTTCAATAATTAATATAAAAAGGAGTAGATACGTACGTACGTACTAATAAGTTTTAAAAACTTGTACGTAAAATTAGTAATTTTTTTAAATAATTTTAGAGATTTGCACTTAATTCTATAATATAAAATTATTTATACGTATTACACTAAACATATAGTTTGAATTAAAATAGTGACAAATTAAAGGCTAAATCTAGCAAATATTAAATGAATAAATGCTAGAGCTAGCATATATTAAATATCATAAACATTATATCTAGCATATATTAAATATCATAAACATTATATCTAGCATATATTAAATATAATAACTACAATAACAAAATAACAAATAATAAAACAAATTATATAAAGTAGTTATAAAATAAATTATTTTAAAAATAGGGTGAGTTTAGGCATCACGTATCTCTCGTATCCGTTAGCCAATAGCCACAATTTAATGTAACTTAACACGATCAGAAACTTTCAAAACAAACGTTAGTTCGAAGAAAAAAGCATCAATTTCTCAAAAAAACGCATAAGAAACCTCCTTTCATACACTAACAAAAAGTTTTCTTTGGGCAAATTTATATTTTTTTTTTATCCTAACTATAAACTAAGCGCTATCCTAACATAAAGGAATTTTTGGAGATATATATCCCGTGGGAGATGTCTATAATTTTCCTTAAAAATAATATTGATTAAAATAACGGCATTGTTAAATCACACCAGTGGATTTAAACCACAGTTGCTATTTCTCAAAAACTGTTTAAATAACCAAGGACGGATGTATTAAGTAAAAATGTTCTGCAAGCCAAAAACCTTACCTAAACTTTATTTTAGCATTAATTTTAAGTCTACAGCTTCTAATTTTATTTTAATTCTAACTCTAACCATATTAAGCACTGCCAACAGAATTATACTAAAAAAATTATATAGTGTTTAATACTACTGGTGCAATTTAAAATACAGTAATTGTAATATCAAATCAAATTAAATAAAATTAAAAATATACTTGACTCTTATTAATATCAACCTATTTGGATTACTCTGATATTCATGTTGATAGTAATATAGTAAAGTTAATATATATAAGAGAATTTTGATATATAAAAATTTATAAAAATTTGTCTTGTGGCTTAAATTAATATTAATATAGATTGATATTAACAAGAGTCATATGCATAGTAAAATAAACAAGCTATTAAAAATATAATTTTGTAAAAAATATTTTTTAATATTGTTTAGAATTAGAAGTTAGTTTTAAAATTTTAATTTATTACAAACAAGTTTTATTTTTTTTAAACAGACTTGCTTTTATTAATTAAAATTTATTTTTAATTATAATATAAATTCTGAATATTTTAATAAAATTTATTTTTTTTTTATTTATTTATTTTTTTTTTTGATATTAAGGTGATCCCTTCGATCAAGTACTTTTATTATTGTATGGACTATTTTTACAACTAGATGATCTACATCCGTCATACATATATTTCTATATAC